TGTGGTTAGATGTGTATGATAAGTGCTATTATTAGTTCATCTGAATCAGTGTGTTTTTGTTTTTTCTGTTTCTCCAGATGACTCATGAGTCAATGTTAATAATGCAGAAAAAAACCTCAAGTGAAGCACCTGTAATAAAGAGGTGTGTGTCCAGTTCCTGTTACAACCTTCCATGTTGGTGCTTTTCTCTAATAGGAACTTCAAATTACCTCTTTCCCTAAGTATTTACTTTAAAGCCAAGTTTAGAAGAGCTGTGTGATGTTTTACTATTTCCAAACTGCTACTGCAGATCTTATCTGTCTATTCTGGTCAGCAGTCGGGCTAAAAATATTGGATTACATATCCGACTGAACAAGGAAGGTTTCTTGAGGTTTGTTTACAAGTGAAGGTGACCCGTGGCCTGTGCATGCTGGCTGAGCTGCACTGATAAGGCTGCAAGGCGTCCCCCCCCTCCCCGCTCATAAACAACCCTGAGCGTCAGCCTCATGCTGCTGCACTTTGTCCAAAGCTGTCCCATCTGCAAGTCCTAACCACAGGCGGGGCACAGCAAAACAATTTGAAGTCTTTCTTTAGAAGAAAGCCTTTCCATGGTATGCTGAGCATGCGACAAGGACTTTGTCTGCTGAGTCAAACAATAAACTGGTTGAAAGGGGGAACAATAAGCCAGGTCCTCGCTGACAGCTTTGTTTGGCAGATTGGTCTAAACAATGCGTCGCCACAGGATACCTTGTCTCGAGCTGGTATGTCATTTTGTACTGGAGACACAAAACACTACAGTGCTTCCGCTAAAAAAAAATTAAATAAAAAAAACCAGCTGAAATGACATATTTACGAGCAGAGTTGTCCCTGGACTCCAGAGACAGGCTGCTCACAATAAGGTTTCCACATGTTGGTAGAACCCTTGACCTGCTGACCATGATCTCTACACCAGCACTGGAATGTCACATCAAAAACACATAGCATTAAACTGATGTCACAGGAAATGTCAGGGTGTTTATTTTCTTTCCTTCAGCAGAGAGGTTCTGCTCACTTGTGTGTTTTTATAGAGCTCATATCACAGAGAAGATGCTTCAGATTGAGATGTGCAGAAAGATCAAAGTTAACCTCTGCGTTAAATAACAGAGTCAACATCCTGTTTTATCTTCCTGGAGCAGTTTGCAGACTTTTCTGTCGTGTCATTGTTGTTTATACCTGAAMTGTACTGGTACAATATAATGTCACACTACTGGGCATGCTTAAACATGAGAGTTATTGGTCCAGCTGACATGAGATCCATTTTAAGAGTCAGCTTTAACAGCTTGTTATCTTTACAGACCTCTTTTAGAGTCACAGTAAAGGTTRTGTTAGAGACAACCTGGCAGGTGTTAGAATGTGTGTAAATGTGCAGCCTGGCTCTGAAAAGATAATCATTCTTATCTTGAATGGAAAATCGTTTATTGGCTTATGATAATGAAGTTCCTGTCCTGCTGTGGTGTCAGTAGGTTCAGACGCAGGACAGTTGTTAAAAAAATGAGTATGTTTCTTTTTGCTACAGTTGACAGTTTGTCCTGAAGGTCATTGCCCTCCACTTGACACAAACTCAAATTATATATAGACTGTATGTATTCCTCTTGAATTTTTTATTCTTTTGCTCCATTCTTCKTTTTTAAACTTTAAATACATTTTCMAGTTGCAGATGAAATCATCCACATAGCATGATACTGCCGCCACCATGCTTCACTGTGAGGATGATAAGATTTGCACCAGACATTTTGTTGTCCTTCGTAGTTAAAATGTTTAACTGTAGTCTCTCCTGACAACCTCAACTTCTTCCACGATTTTAGGAAAATGTAGAAYATATAAGCACTTTCATCAGAAGGAATTTCTGAGATTTTTAATTCAGTTCACTACTAACCAACAATTATTTTAATATCTTTATGGTTTRTTGAATTCTACTGACTTTCTGAATAACAGAATATTCCAGTTAAAGGGGCATTATCATGTAAAATCAACTTTTTTGAGTTTTTTATCATGTTAAAATTTTATACTCTCATAAAAACATGTCCAAAGCCTTGCTC